CACTCTCTTCATTGTAGACTGAATGAACAATGACATGGGTTGAATCGGCCAGCTTGGTGCCGTTCACAGTTTGAAAAGATCTAGGTGTATCTGGATCCTCGACGCCTAGCTACTTGCTACCTCCCTCTCTCAATCTTGCTCGTTGTTATCTCCATGAGAAACTAAAACCAAACCGTTCATTCATCATCATTGCGGTTTTCTAGTGCGGCGATTCAACGACCAGATTTGCTCTTCACTGTTTGGTGGTTGGTGGTCGAGCCAACTTGATTTGGTTACCCAACCCACAAAGCATCCACATTTGCTGAGGTTGTTTGGGCCAACAAATTGATGACATTGAAGATAAACTCATCGAAAGAGAAGGCATGCTTTGGAAAATCCAGTAGCAGAGCTTATCAAATGAATGCAGTGATCAATGAGCCGTAACTTCAATTAATAATTGCGCATATGCCTAAAAGTGAAGATGCTATTTCAACAAATTTCTCTTCTAAAAAAAAGTTATTGTTTTTAATTTATTAATGGGTAAGATGCATTTTTGTCACTCTATGTTGGAGGAGAAAAAAGAGAGGAGATATTTAGTCATATATTCATTCTTAGGACTAATAATATAGATAAACTCTACACCATTTAATTTCTATAAATAAATCCAAAAAAACTCAAAAAATGACAGCTGACCCTATTGAATTTAATTTTGATTATTAAATTACTTTGATGCCTTATTGAGTGTTTTGAGTATTTTTTATGAGGTTTTGGGGTTGAGTTTGTTTTAAGAAATTGATGGTAATTTAGTAATTTATAAGAAGTTAAATTGTAAATGGACTTTGGGTGTATTTCTAAAGTCTATTTTATATAGGGTTTTTTAAATAATTTGAACCCATATATTGAGTATAATAGTGAATTTTCAAAAAAAAATAAAATAAAACAGAATAAAACAAAATAAAAAAGCGTAATGTTCCGCCTTGTTTCATGCGGTCGTGGCAATTTGTGAATGGGTCATTGACCACAATAGTCAGTAGTTGACTTCACAGCTAGAAAATAAAAACACAAAAAAAAAGGAAAAAAGAAAAAGAAAAAAAGAGTAGCCAACGCCAGAGTCTCAGTCTCCCACCGGATCAATCAATCACTTTCGACACCATCACTCACTCAGATACACTCTCTCTCTCTCTCTAACTCACTATTTTCCCCCGCTTTTTGGCTATCTTTCCTTTTCTACAGAGCCCAAATTTCTCTCCCATACAAACACAGAGCCTCGAAGTAAACGAGCCGAGAATCTTGGAAATCGCCAAATTCCTACAGCCGTTTTGGT